AGAGGGTGTTGTTCACACTGGAGCCGCACAGCTCAGTGGCTTCCTACTCTGGTATTATAGATGCTCGCTCTCCCCAGGGCTGGGGGGTGGCGTGGAGGGCAGTGCTCCTGCGACAAAGCACTTAATACCATTCTTTCAAGGTGGTGCACCCACTTTGCTCTGGGAGCTTGTATGTTTTTTTGCCTCTGCCTTGACACCTCTTTTCTCTCTCTCTCTCCATGGGCCACTGTCCACCCCAACCCCAACTTCCCCAAAAGAACACATCCCTCCTTAGGCCAGGAACACTCTGCTTAACTTCTACTCATATTTCAAGATACAGATGAAATATCATGTCCTCTGGGAGGCCTGCTCAGAATCCTAATCTAGGATAAATCCCTTCGTGTTAACAGAATCCCTTGATGCTTTTTAAAAAAATAGCTTCTAATACAACAATGATTTACTTAAAAGTCTATATAAAGGGCATGGGGTCAGACACTGTGTCTGTCCTGGTCAGCACTGTGTGAACAACACAGTTCTGCCCCCTTGGCCTCCTCCAGCTTCTCTCAAAGGAAATCTCTTTTAATATTTCCTATTTTAAACTCTTCCAGTGGCTTCTTCCATAACTCTAAGTAATATACTTATTATTTCTTGATTTATAACTGACACATCTATATTTCATTTTATTCCCTCTTTTCCTTCCAAAGTTTGTAATGTTTCATTTTTAGTTCTTTCATTGGGTTATCTTTATAACTGCAAATTATAAACTGAGGCCATTATATCTTTCCATAAATTAGATGAGGATATTAATATTCTTACCATTATCTCCTCTTATCTTTTCCCATCTGATTTCTAAATTTTGCTAGTTCTACCTTTATTTTATTATCTTCAGATTTATCACATATGCAGTCTATTTTATAATCATTACTTAGACCTTTCTTTTGTCTCTAGTTTGATTTTGAAGTCAAAAAGAAGTAAATGTTTAGTTTGGCTTTGTAAAATGTTGGTCTCTGCAAAGGCACTGGGACAGCAGAATTCAGTTCTTCCTCTGTGAATTCAACATCCCAGCTCCTGTTCTACTAGAAGTAGACTGTGCCTAATGGGAAGGTCAGGTTTCAAGTGGCTCCTTTTCCTTATACTCTGTCAATTCTCCCCTACGATTCCACAATCATGCTTAATATTTGGGCCATGATTTCCTTGTGCAGTTTACTTTTAAATTTTATTGTTGGAGTTTCTATCACTTTTTTCTTTTTGGTACGAGGAAATTTATTTTCTTAGACTAAAAGTTACCTTCCCATTATCAGTTGTGTGAAAGCACAGCTTTTTTCTTTTCCCATTCTATGTTTTATTGCTTGGTAGATGTTGGTTGTTCTTTCTGGAAGCTTGTTGAGTCTTTTTCATCTTTGTGTTCTCAAATTTCACAAGAATGTTTCTAACTTTTTTTAATTGGGATTTTAAAAATTGTTATTAAACTTATTGCAGTGACACTGGTTAATAAAATTATATAGTTTTCAAGTGCACAATTCTATAATACATCATTGGTATATTGTCAAGTATGATTTTTTTAACCATTCACCTTGTTGAATATTGATCAGGCACTTTCAATATGAAGATTTCTGTATTCTATAGCCTTGAGAAATTTTCTTCTATTGCTTTATTTATAATTTCTTCTCTACTTTTTCCTGTTATCTTTTTCTCTTTGATTGACTCTCTGTCTTTTACTCTTTGTCTCATGTTTTTCTTTTTCTGAGGGGGTATTTTACTTTTGGAGAAATGCTTTCAACTTATTCTCTTATGAATGTGTTGTTTTTCAACTATTTGATGTTCCTTTCCATAGTATTATATTTTTATCTTATTTATGCAATTTTTTTGGAAGACTAATTAGATTTTTTAAGAGTTGTCTTGTGATTTCTGAAATATATTTCCCACAGAGTCTATTATTTTCTATGTATATCCTCTTTCAAGATGCTGGTTTCCCTCAGATGTCTGATGATTCTGGTTGTATGTCTTATTTAAGAATGAAGGATCGGTCTGTTTATCCAGGACTGCTGGAGACAATTTACTCTGCTCTTAACCAGGCAGGTCCAGATCTTCATCAGACTCTCCCAGGAATGAGAAGACAGACTGGTAGCTCTATGTCTGTGATGAGGGCTCATTGGCTGGAGGATTTTGCTTTTAGATGGAGTAAAGGCAAGATAGCCATTAGGCTGGGCTCCCCCAAACCCAAATGTTAGACTGAGGAGAAGCTTTGCTCTGGGGTACCCATAGCCTTACTCTCAGGTTTCGTGTAGATACACACATGCACACATATATACATTAAATATGAAAAATTTTTTATCTCCTTATTAAGCATCTCTTTTGTTTTCTGTAATGCCAGCACAAGGCCTAGCTCTAGGTAAAAAATGCAATAATTGTTTTAAATGACAACATAATAGTAGCATTCAGCTTTTATGTATTTACTCTTAAGGGTTCACCACTCATTAAGTCATGCTGCCTGTACCCAAGCAACTAAGAGTCTAGCTTTTAATGGAAGAAACAGATGTGTAAACAAATCACTATAATAAAGAGAGATAAGTGCAACAGAATGTGTTTGTACAGAATGCTGGTACTTGAGGAAGAGACATTAAGTCTGAACTGGGAGAGAGAGAGAGAGAAAGAGAGAGAGAGAGAGAGAGCTGCAGAGAGCACGTGACATTTCTAGAGGCAGAAGAGTATGTGGAATGAAAGAGCAGCTGCAGCCTGCAGAGCCAGGCTGTTCAGGTTTGAACTCTGATTCCTTCACTTACTAGTTCTCCTTGCACATATTATCTCTTTGCCTGTTTTCTCCTGTGTAAATTGGTCATATGATAATAGCTTGGACTTTCTAAGTTTTTGGTGAGAATTAAATGAATCACTATACATAAACTTCTTCAATGATGTCTTCCATTCAATACATATTAGCTCATTATTATTATTATTGTTTCTTGATGTGGCCTTGAATAAGTTCAAGAGCCAGAGAATGGCCAAGTGGTTATTGTTAGGAAAATAAGCTTTGAGTGCAGGCCCAGTGGCAAGAAAATGCAGGCACACTTAGAGGAGAGATTGGCTAAATATGACTAGCATGCAGGTCCAGGACATGTTCCAGAATAAAACTGGGAGGGAGTAGGGCAGGTCACAGGAAGCCATGGAAGTGCACAGAGGAGCTGTTGACACATCTCTTGTCATCAGTTTTCTGGCTGGAAGTCCTGTGTGCTTATGCATTGTGTTAGTCAGGCAATTAATGAAGTTAGGGAATCTATAACCTATATAATTTAAAACTTCTAGGAATCCCATTTGGTAGGTGGCATGGACAATTAGGAACATTGGGACTATGTAGAACAATGTTCTTGAAGAAGTCAGAGGTGACAGGATTAAAAATAATTGAATTTTAAAAACTCATAGCTTGCAGTGGTGGTGGGTTAGGGGGTCCTTTGTAAGAGGGGTTAAACTTGTAGGTAACTTTGAATTCTAGACCTTTGTCCAATGCACAGAGGGGTGAGAAAGGCAGATTTTGGAAGGACATGAGAGTAAGCTTTCCAACCATATAGGGCCATCATAAGATGCGGTGGCTGGCACTCTGAGTCCGTGAGGGTCCAGCCACTGGAAGCGCCCAGGCAGATAGAGGTTGCTGTGTCAGTGCTGACATGAGGTGGGTGGGGGTCTTCTGCCTGCGGTGGGCTCATATCATCTAAGGTTTGTACCAACTCCATTCGCCCCTGCTTACACGATCTCCAGGCCAGAACTCATTTCTCAGTTTCAACACCTCCTCTCCCACCTCCATCCCCATCGATAGGTATGCGGTTTCATTTTGCTCTAGACATTTCAGTCCTGAAGGGAGGGAAGGCTTGGCTTGGTGCAGCCAACCAGGCTGAGGCCAAGGCTCTAAGACTACCTGGTTTGTCATACCACTGATGTCACCTCAGTCAGGCCTGAAAATCACTTGAAAATTCTTTTTTTTTTCTTTTTAAGTCCTCGCCCAAGGATATGTTTATTGATTTTAGAGGGAGAGGAAGAGAGAGAGAAACACTGACATGGGAGAGAAACATTGATCAGTTGCCTCTTGCACACACCCAGGCTGGTGATCAAACCTACAACTTAGGTATGTGCCTTGACCAGGGATTGAACTCGCAACCTTCTGGTGTATGGAAAAATGCTCCAACCAGCTGAGCCACCCGGCCAGGGCCACTTTAAAAGTCTTTAGTCCACTGCTCCCTGTCCTCTGATTACACATGGCCTGTCCTTTTTCCAAAGACCAAGGTGTACTTTGTATGTCTTATGCCATTCAGCTTCCTCGTCTACTTTCCTACAAGACCCCCCAATCGCTCCTCCTTACAAGTTCCTGGTCCCCCAAAACCTGGACAGTACAGGGAAGGCAGGATAGGCTAAGGTACGCTTTGAGACCCAGCTCCTACTTTATTCATGTTGGTTTCTTTCAGGCCTTTGAGGAAGAGAGCTGGGTTTTTTTGTTTGTTTTTGTTTTTGTTTTTGTTTTTGTTTTTGTTTGTTTTTTTTTTAATGGCTGCTACCATGCTTGTACCTGAAAGTCTCCATGCTAGATAGCTACTACTTCTCATTTTGGAGTCTTTTAAAAGTCAAGTGTCATCCTCAGAGATTCCTTGGTACACAGCACAGAAGCAACCATGGAAAGTTTCATATGCTGTTGCCTTGAACAGATGCTTGGGAGCTTGTAGAAGCCTTCAAAGATTAAAGTTAAAATGGCATTTCCACAGGAAGGGAGAGAACCTGAGGAAACTGGAACGATTTCCCCTAAATCTGGCCAACGATACTTGTTGAGGGGCTGATTTTCCCTGTGTTTTATGCTGGACTAGGCAAAATAAACAGTGTGCACAAAGAGCACTAATTGCTTCATTCATTCCTCCATTTAGTCAGGGGAAGAGCAGAGCTTATTCAGCCTCAGAATGGAAAATTACATGTTGGAGAGAAAATAGCTACACTGAAGGCATGACAATGCAATTCAAGTTCTGCTGGTTCACATATTTTATTTATCCAGTGAAGGAAAGGGAAAAGGGGGAAACAAAATACGAAGGGGCACCAATTCTGACAGAATGAATACCAAGGTCACATCTTCCATTTTCCTCAGTCCATTGAAATTCGCAGATTAAATAAAAGTGCAAAGGGATGAGATGAATATCTTGCTGGAGAATAAAATGTCTTATTGGAGAAAGAAAATCCCTTTTAATGTTAATATCTACTCAGTGGTTTCTTATTTGAGGATGGCTTACTTTCGTCTTTATAAAAATATTGCAGCCTCATATAAACTGCTGGGTTACATGTTTAAGGGTAGGTGGACGGAGGCCGCTGACTTGGAGACTCTCCTGGAGTTCAAGTCTCAAAGAACCTCACCTCACTGTGGCGAGGGCCATAGGACATTGTAAACATTCTGGGGGTTGGGGAGACCCAATGACACATGGCAGGAAAAGGGATCTCAGACATTACAGCCCAGGACCCCATATAAATGGGGTAACTGAGGCCTGGGAAGTTAAATGATTTCCCCAAGGTCACACAGCTGTTTCTCAGTAGGAATCAAATTTCTTGGCTTCTGATTAAGTGCATTTGGATACTGCTTACATCAATAGATACTCCCAACACAAATTTTCCTCCTAAGGTTATATTTTAGCTTACATGAAAGAAAACTAGAGAAAAGAAAAAAGATTTGTGAAGAACTCTGATAAATATATCCAATCTCAAGAACCTCGTGTTCTTAACTATATCTTATATAGTTAGAAGGTTAATAATGTTTGGGTCAAAATCAGGGAACTTGATTTTTCTAAGACCACATATGACAATATCTTACACACAGTGAGACAGGAATGGTAGGTAGCACCACACAGGGAATATTAGAAAAACCAACGTTAGAAAATAAAACAGGCCACGTCAGTGTTTGGTAGGCTGGTCTAAACTGTTCAGGGCTTTCCAATAACACGGAACATGACACTAAGCCACAATCTATGAGAGGGGAGTTTCAGAGGGCTCTTGGCGGGCACACAGCAGCACCCTCTAAGCAGCTGGGTGCCTGTACTCAGGTTGACACATGGCATCCACCCTCATTAGAGCCACTGAGCTGAGTGTGTGAGCTCATGCCCTATGCTGCCCATAGCCGAGCATAGCCATGGGACAAATCAATGCCCAATCCTTATCACCTCAAAAGCTGGCCTGCTTCATTGTAACCATGTGTGTAAATTAGAGAGGAGAGGATGAGGAGGTGGTGGTGGGGGTGAGGATGGTTCAGGTTGCCAATACAGGCTGGACATTTTGAACCCTGGACAAAGTGACTGGTATCTTTGTTTCCCCAGGGCCTGGAGCTTTTGTAATAGGCTGGGTGTGGGCCTTGATGTCTGCAATCTGCTCTTTGAACTTTTGTTGCAGGAATTTTTCTTCTTTGGAGTAGCTCTTAGCAAACACTGACATCAGCAGGCACCCAGCCATGGATGTGCCCCCAATGCAGAAGAGCACGGCTCCCGCCAGCTTGCACATGTCAAGGGCTCCATTAAACTGAACAGCATGTGTGTCGACCACCACGAAATCAGCTTCACCAAAGGCTTCGATTTTGGGGGGCACAAGAAAGCCCACCGCCAGAACAATCAGTCCGAGAATCACAAAGACTGTGCCGGAGATGAGTCCGACCTAGAGAAAGACACAATGAGACAAGACAGATAAGCACAATGCTTCTGCTCTCTGTGGGTCCTGCAAGGCAGGACTTCTCTTTTGGGCAAGTGAATTTTCCCAGTCACTCCGAATATGTATAAGAAGCCTACATAATTATCTGGTTCAAAAAGGTGAAAGGAGCACCTTTCTGATTTTGTTGCCAACCAGAAACTACATCACTGTCTTGATTTTCCCTTTGAGCTTTCGGTGTGTACAATGCTTCGCAGTTGACAAAATCCCCTTTTGCTTACATTGTCCCTTTTGGTCTGGAGGAAGAGAAAAGCAGCCCTGACATCCAGGAGCTGGCCTGACTCTCTTCACTAGGCCTTGATGTTGTTAGAAGCTGCCTGGAGTTCACAGCGAGGCCATGTTTTTCTCCTGTTGGCACAATCAGTCTCACAGAATATCATCAGACAAGCTCATTCTGCCCCGGTGATGAAGTAAGACTACTTCATAGTTTTCTCTAAGCATAGATAAAAACAAGGTCAAATACCCAGCACCTCCTCTCCTCTCTGCCAATATAAATGATGGCTGTTCCTTTACCAATGACATCTTCTGTCTCACTCTAAGCTGCCCTCCCAATAGGTAAGACTCATTAAGAAATTCAATCATAGAATTGCCCCTAACAATCCCGAGTGAACTCCTCTTTCCTTCAGCCCTCCCCCAAATCACCCAACCAAAGCCCACATCCTGTAACACATCCTTCCTCCCACTCCCTTATTGGATTACCTCAGGACCCCTCATGGTGCCATCTCTCTCACTGTGATGGGTAATAAGCTTAACTCATTCAATGTAGAGATATGTCCTGGTATGTTGGCTGGAAGACATTGACAGTCTGTACCTACTCACCCTTTCCCCAAGTAAGTGGGGAAGGAACCATAGTTGCCAGTTCACAGCTGAGGAAACGTAACATTGCAGAAGGCAGGTCACTGGCCCAGGACGAACAGCTAGCAAGTTGCAGAGGCCGGGCTGGCAGCCACAGATCTGACCTGAGGCCAGGGCTCTTTCTCTAACATGGATCCACTGGGCTGGGCTTGGGCAGATGCTGAGAAGTGTTAGGAGTAGCAGATGGAAATGACACTGCAACAGCTCAAGTTCTAATAAAATGTAACATGCTGAAGATGGAAAGTAATATACCATGTGGTGGTTTAAACTCAGAGGTTTGGAATTAACTTCTGAGTTAATTCCACAGGCTTGGATTCTAGCAGTGTGAACTAGCACTGAATCATATAAGGAAAGTTACTTAAATGCTCTTGTATACCTATAAAATGATAAATGATATAGCACCCACCTCATAGAGATGTTGTGAGGATTAAACGAGACCATGCATGAAAGACTTAGCCCTTTGCTTAAGTAATACACGGTCATAAGTAGCTGTTATTATTTGGAAATGTATCTCTCGTAAAATTATGCTACATTAACAACTGCATTACAACAATTATTCAGTACTTAGAATAAAGAACGGATAATAGTTATTTATTTTTTAAACATAATTTTCATTTCCTCCTGCTTCTAATTGTTTTTAGGTAGAATAACAAGGTTGGAAAAATAACCCAATGCATAACACCATTTAATCTTGAATATTTAAAGTATGTTTATTTAACATGTCTACTTATTAAACTTCAGGGTAAGACACTAATAAAGAGGGTTTAGATAATAGAAGGAAAACATTTGCAAATCCATCACTTTAACAAAGGGGGGAAAGGAGAACTAGTATTATTGAGCATTGTGAACCTCAAGAAGAAATATATCTGCCAGCAAGAATTCCTTATGGTTAATTGGGCTCAAATTCCTATTTGGAGTCTAGCAACCATTGCTGGCAGGGCCTCTCATACACACTGCGTTTCAGGAGAAAGTCACAGGCTGAGCTGTGGCCACTTGCATGGTGCTCCTGCACAGTGTGCTCTGGCCCTTATAAAGGAGTCCCTGGCTTCCTACTTCAACCAACAGGCTGAGATCTGCCTCATCTGATCAGAGCCACACAGCTATGTCCTCATTTGCATATTTACTAACCAGTTATTTAAAGCAGCTCCATAATGACCATCAGAACAGGCAATTCCAACCAATCATGACAGTGCTATTTAGACCAGTGAAACCACAAATTTAGATTCTTCATTTACACGAAAACGGGCCAATCAGGGGCCAGGGTGGGAACTTTCTCTATATAAGGCAGACCTCCCTTTGTCTCTGGGGAACTGACTTTCAGTTTCTCCCAAAAGCTGAGTTTCTCTGGTTTGCAAATTATTTTACCTGAGTAAAGTTTCTCCTTTTACCACACTCCAGATTGGAAACTCTTGTTGGCATTGGATTGATGGCAGTGACCTTTGGTTGACAGCATCTGTTATGGTTTAGGCATAGTGTTAGGTGTGGTTTTTGCTTTATCCTCACCAGCCTTAGGAGATGTAGATACTCTTATTCCTATTTCACTTATAAGAAACTGAGGTTCATAGGGGTGAAGAGGCACAGTTCAAGGTCCTTCAGTTAGGAGATGACTTGACTGGACTCTAACCCTCCCTGGTCTTCTAAGCCTCCCCACCTGTTTTATTTTCTCATGATATTTCACCACTTACTATTTTGTATATTACTTGCTATTATTTTTTTATTGTAACAGAGCTTTTGTTACCATACATGGACAAAATTCCATTATGTAATATTGTGAGGATACTGAAAAACAAAAAGAGTCAATATAATCTTTTCAGAAAAAAATAGAAACTATTCTCCATAAGATATAAGTAGTACAGGGGAAATTGGGTTGTAAAATATAACATTTCAAATGACTTTCTACATTTTTCTAAAACTGGTGGTGAATAAATTTACCTTCAAAGACTAACCATTATTTAAAAATAACTTTAAAAAAATGACTCACATTGGAAAATTCTGAATGCACAAACTAAATTAACTTAAATATCCATGGTGACATGTTTCATATGTCTCTAAATTACTTCCCTCCTCAAGAGCTGGCACTAATTCTCAAAAATTGAGGGCAGCAAAAATGTATCCATCTTAGTTTCTGAGGTTCTTAAGAGCAACTGAGGCCAAAGCTCTCCATCTTCTATTTCTGTCTTGTCTCTCCACAGTTCTCATTCCAACCCATGCTCAATAAATATTCCTGACTGACTAACCTAAACCACCAGACTGCTGAATATGGAGCCAGGTGATTGATTCTCAGAGCAGTTGGCTCCTCAACTGAGCAAGTGTTTTACAGATTAAAATCCACTCTTGGAGTGTCACTCAGAAGCTAAAAAGGCAAACCATGACTTGCAGATGGCAGAACTTCTGCTCACTTTAAGAACTGGAAAGTGGCTGGCTTCCTGAGCCTTCTCCCTTTTCCTTGTTATATCCATGGATCAGAGATGTCTGCGGAGGGGAGCACAATGTAAAGAACAGCTAACTCCAAAGATTGTGAGGGTGCCATCAATGCAAGTCTAATGAGAATCTTCAAGAGGTGTGCCCAGAGAGGAACTCCAAATCTATTAAAACATGTCAGGGAGAGCTTGGGATGGTGGGCGTGAAGGAGCAATGATGAGATCCCAAGTTCCTGTGTCTTAAATTTCCAGAGCCTGTAATGGAGGTGAGGAAGGATGTTGGCATACATGAGCTTAATTCTGGCACATGTTGGAATACTGGAAAGAAAAAAAATTGGAGAGCGAGGCTATACATTATCATAACAATTGTCCCTGGACACAGCTCTAAGTTGAAGTGGTCCTAGGTCTAGGAGGATAGGGGCTCTATTAAAGTTTTTAAAAATGCAACACAGAGGTCTTTTAAGGGTCTAAGAGGTCAAAGTAGCCCTGTTTAGGGTCATTCAGAAGAGTTTAAATGCTGTTGGGCCTGGGGCCTCCCCAACGCTTACCAGAACAGCCTGGGCCATGGGGTGGTTTGAACAATACTGATACTGAGAGATAGGAACCTTCCGAGGCTGTGACAACAGCAAGGCAACAGCAAGGACAGTTTTTGAGCTGCAACTTCTGATGACTCTCCTGGCTGTGGGGACCATCTGTGAAAATCCAGTCCCCACTGCTGGCAAAGAGGACTGGATAGGGAGAAGAATTTGGGTTCCAGAAATTCTGCTGCTGGGGCGATAAGCCAGAGACTGCTGTTATTGTGACCAATATCCCCTTTGTTGTATCGCTGTGAGCTGATGAATTCTGAAAATGCAGTTTCCTTCAATAAGCAGAATTGGCAGCAGTAGCAACGCAGCTGTTCTGGCAGAGAGGAGGCAGTAATGACTGTTGGAAGCAAGAACTATTGTGGCAGGGGAGAACAGCGTGTAGGGGGAAATGCTGGATGGAGCTAAATGTGAAAGGAGCCATCTGGGTTAGAGGTAATTCAAAGGAAGCACATCAAGAGTGAAGACTGGCTTTTCTTCTTCATTAGCCCCAGGGGCTGCTGCTGACCTCTCCTTAGCAGGATCTGAGCTATGAGTGGTGTCACTTGCCAGCAGTGATGACAGGTTCAAACTTATGTCCTGGCCTTCTTGCCTGACCTGCCTGTAGGGACATGGAGCTTAACAAAGTCAAAAACCTATGCCAGGCTATGATCTAGGTCCTTTCACATGCCTTACCTCCTACTGTCTTCACAGTCCCCCTTCGCCTGGGTAGTGATACCCATTATCCTGCATTAGCTTTTCTGCTTTACAGAGGCTCTGTCCCTCTAACATATGAACACATTCAGTTGCTTCAGTCTTCAAAACCTATTTTAGATCCTGTGTTCGTCCCTAGCTACTGCTTGAAGCCAGTCCTCCTTTTGACAGCCAAGCTTAGTCCTCCATGATTTCACTGAAATTGCTCTCTCCAAGGTCCCTAATGACCTCCTAATTTTCAAATCCCAGGTGATTTTTCTCTACTTATCTCATTTGAATGTTCTGCAGTCATTGATGTAAAACACTCATGCTTTCTTAAAACTCTCCCCTGTTGTTATTCCTGATAAAACTCTTCTCATTCTACATCTACTTCCTTAACAACTCACTCTCAGCCTGC